ATGTTTGGTGTGACAGGGATTCAAACCCGCGACCCTCAGATTACGAGTCGAGCGCCCAAACCACCTGGCCATTCTACAGGAGTAAAGGAGTGCCTGATTCATATATTAACTATTTAAAACATGTTAATCATGTACGTTTTTTCAATTACTTTCTACTAAGGAATAGTAAACTATTCGAAATTGTTCTGATTTATGGGTCTTTTGAAATCTACTTGTTGACAATAAGATACTTAACATTTTTCAATAAAAGTACAAAACATTTTGAGAGAAAACAATGCTCAGAATTTGTTTCTAAGAAATACACAGTTGTAGTAATCCAAATAAAACTAAAATGTGTAAAATAACAACACTGTTCCACATAGAGCAGACTAAAGCTCCAATACCTTTCAGAAATTCAAGGTTCCATACAAACAAGCATATATAACATAACTTTTGGCAATGAAGAGACTTACATGTGAATTTTATCAGCTTTATTTAATTTTGTTACATTCTTTTATTTAAATTATAATATAAAAGTTGTTTAAAATAGCACTAACAATGTAAGTAAAGTATATCTCTAAAAAGTTTTTTTTTGTTGGAAAACAAATCTTTCAGTTAACAATGATCACTTATGTCCTATAGCTAACAATATAAAAATATGAGTGCAATATTTGGTGACAAACCCAGTGCTTTTGGTTACAAATCAAAGCACATGATTCATGAATATATCCATTGTTAAACAACAGCTTAAGTGGGAATTACAATTATATTAGTCAATACTATACACTGTTTTGTTATTCTAAAGTATTTAGTAACTGTAGAAATCTAAAAGTTACTTCTTTTAAGCTGAAAAAAGAAATATATATATATATATATAGAAATCATTAAACTTTGAGTTATAGTTTCATTACATGCATTATGAAAATATGGTAGAAAAAGCGTTTTCTTTAAGTTTCATATTAAATAGGACTATATTGCAAAAAAAAAAAAAAAAAAATGATAGTAAGTTTTAAGTAGGTATGTTAATAAGAAATAACTGTTCAATTGAGGAAGTAACAAAAAATAATTCCATGGTTTACTTCGACTGTTACCTGAAAGCAAGAACATTTAAATACAAAAAGGAAACATTTGTATGTGTATTAAGCAACAAAGATAAATCTGTTACCTATATGTTGTAATGTGCAAAAGAGGGATGATTTATAGGTAGAGCTCTACCGTGAAACAGTTTTCAAGTATTTGAAAGATACCACATATAATTCAGTGTGTTTTTCATCAATGATCTAACAGTACTGATTGTAATTCCGTAGTTATCAGTTTCTTACTTGGCCTTTAGAAAATGTTGCTGCATACTAGGGTCAGATCTCCCATGAAGCTGAAGTTCTCTCAAAACTCGGCGCGACTGATATGCTACATTCACCAACATGGATACTGCTTCCTTCATCACAAGGGCTACGGGTCCTGGTCCTATGTGTCGGGGTAGTTCAGCTAGACGGCTTTTACTAAGGTATGGTCCAGTAAAACATCGATGGTTGAAATAAATTTTGGGGCACCAAGCCTTGCCACCTTAGACACAGATAGAATATTTTAGAAAATTATGAAGAACAATATCAGGATAACATGTAAATTACCTACATCTCAAATAATAAATTACATGTAGCTGACTACATCTAAAATTGCAGATTATACTTTCACCTTAAAACCCATTAATTTATGCAAGATTTTAATTAGTTTTCCTTTTTTATTTAGTACAAAATAGCATAAATGCCTCTAAACTGTTGTTTCCAGATTTTAAACTGTTTTTTCATCAGAATTTAGTCTATGTAGAAGATAATAGAAGCTTCTAGTCTGAGACATCGTACTCTAAGATCTCCTTTCAAAGGCTTAATTTAAATTTGGCCATGTGTAAATGTTCTCTGTCATCTTCTGTAGATGCAATCTAAATGTTCTTATATCTACAGTTACTAAATAAATTAATGAAGCTTTTCGAACAATACTTTTTTTTACTATCAACACACAAACAATTCTGACTCTTATGTAAAATAAAATAGCATCAAATAAATGTTTTCTCTCCCAACCTTAAAACTGGGCTATATCTCCAAACAAATCATTCACTATCATACTTCTAGTTTCCTAGATATTTTTTTTTAACGCTAATACTACTTTGCAATTATATAATGGATAGTGTTTTTTCAATAATACCACTATAAAAACAATTGTAAACTTAAGTAGTAGATCAATAAGTGAATCAGAGCTTAAACTACTTGTTAATTTGTCATCTTCATAATACTGAAAACAATTTCTAATTCTATTAATTTCATAAAATTAACTGTAATAAACTAATTACAGCTTCAAAAGTAAATTTTCATATAATCTGTAATGATGAATTTGTTTTTCTTCACCACTATTTTTATTCCTTATTGTAAACTTAAGGTGAGACCCATAAACACGTCTATCCTAAATTATTAAAAAATACTTATATCTATATTTTAACTCAGCATTAACATCCATAAGTATCGAAATATATAAATAACTTTAAAATATTGCTTTATTCTTCTGGATAAGAAACTAAGGCAGCTTTTTATACTGTTTCATCCTGAGAGAGACCTTGAGGCTAAGTTTAATGCTCTGATTAACGACATTATTAAAAATAGGCAACAAAATCAATACCACATCTGGATGAGAACTGTAATGATAATTTGAAGCATGGAAGTATCAGAAACCTCATTCTCCCACAGTATATATGTTTCATAAATACAAAACTTTTACTAGGTTTTAAGTTGGAACATATTAAAGATATTTAAAGAAATATGTAAAATTCAGAGCAAGTTCTTATTCACTAGAGAAAGGTTCAGTCAGGAAAGCTATTTACTATTTCATGGTAGAGCTGTATTACATCCAACTTTACCTCATGATTTGCTATTGTTATATATTCTTGTGATCCTTCTGATTGGTAAGTCATCAAAATAACATGATTTGTTCTGATCTTAATGGAGTCAAAACTTTCTATAGACACTTTGTCTTTCTTCTCCACATTCTTCTGCCTACTGATCCTGCATGTTTAACTTTCTTTTATATATCATTTTACTTGCACACAATTGCATAGTACCTCTTGTGTTGTGAATATCATGTCATTGTGTGCAAAGTTTATCCCTGAAATGACCACAGGCTCTTGTTAGCCCATTTAGATTGATGAGATTGTCACTCAGGCTTTATATACAGTGTTTAGTCAAGTTTATTTTGCTACTTTTTTTAAACTGGGTTGTGTTAGGTATCCAAAAACAACACGTTATGTAAAAAACACACAATATTAAACTACGCATTAAAACATGTTTTAGGAAAATACTTAAATGTGAGAAAAAATTGGAAATATACTTACCTACTTTTGTAGTTGAACTTTTAACTTCTCCAGTTTTGTTGAGTGAGCTATTAGATGAAAAAAAAGAAAGAAGCTAAAACAAATGTGAAAGATATGACATAGTAATATGTAACTTTCATATGATGTAAAATAACAATAATCAAATATAGTCTTTGGATTTAAACATTCAACTGGACTTACTATGTTCCATCTGTGGAGGTAAAGCCTATCTTTTTCATAAGTTTTCGCTGTCGTTTACTGAGGCAGGTGCGAGGGGGTTTGAGGGGATAGCTATTGCTCTCACACCAACCAACAGGAAAGATCTCTTGAGAGTTAAGAGGAACAATGTGGTGGGGGTGGAATGTGTCCACACTATCTAGCTGAATCCACATGATGGGTTCTATCACCCTAGTTACTGTTGCAGCACATATCTGATAGAGGAATATTTATATTAAATATATTTGACTTACAATGGTATCTTTTGTAGATAAATTATAAGATTAGAATGACTTTACAACATTTCATTTAAATGTTTTAATCCAAATGCATTTTTCCAAACTAAAAATGACTTATTTATAACACAATACTGAACAAAAAATATGATCTTATTTTTTAAAGATATAATAAATATGTTACTGAAAACTTCTAATCAAGTTTATACTTTCTTCATCACTTGAGAACTGATTTTGTAATGATGCTCTAGCCTTAGAAAATATTCATTTCCTGCAACAATAAGCATATCATAAGGGAACTAATTACGGTAATTTTCTTCTTTTAAATTAATTACTGTACTATATTATTAATACGTATATATTTGTCATCATGTTAAACATATTTATAAATATAAAATTACACTTTCTCTTTTATAAACTTAATACTCCTTTACTTCAATATATTTTGTCTCACCTGATGAGGTTGGAATGGATTTACTGCCTCTAACTTCATATTGCCTTCAAACCCAGGGTTTGGGCAAATCTGAAACACATTTAAACATATATTTTATTCTTTTTTATCTTAAACAGCTTGTTTGACTGAACAATTAACAAGAATAAGTCAGTAGCATCAATGTTGTATACTCTTGAAATTCTTATATCAATATACATATATATATATCATTTATAATATACACTCCATCAATATGTGAACCCAGTGTTTGTCTTTCAATTTGCCCTCGGCCAGAGTTACTGATGAGGGATGAAATTTCCAGACACCTGTATAACTCAGTAAAAGGTGGTAAATCAAATGATAGACTGGGCTTCATATTTATTTTTTAATATATATTAAACAAGTTAATAACTAGGTGTCCTGTGAAGTAAAGAATAAATGTTCTAAATAGCATTCAGCCACCTTTATCAAACCCTAAGGCAACTTGCACCCTTCTTAGGGTTCCTCAGAACCCTCTGTATCTAAAACATGTTTCCTATATAGTTATTTTTATTAAATATATTATTTATGGTAAGGTGGGTCTTGCCACAAATGTGGCTACACTATTAGTTTAGGTTATCCATCACTGCTCTTAGGGTAAGTCTTAATAGCTGTATGTATATTAACATCATGAAAATTTGAAATACTGTGGTTAAAGATCCATTATAACTATCTCATGGAACCACTGTTATATCTGTCTTGTGAAACCACCATCACATCTAATGCATGAAACAAATGTTATAACTATCTCATAGAACAACCATTATAACCATCTTGTGGAACAGCTGTTATAACTATCTCATAGAACAACCATTATAACCATCTTGTGGAACTGTTATAAATATCTCATGTAACAACAGTTATAACTACAGTATATTAATACCAGCTACCCTACTTTCAAAAAGTATACTGCTCCAACATTTTTTTAAAGTTTGGTGTTTGGTACATTGATAGATCTCTACAACCTACAATTAGGAGTCTCATTTGGTGTAAATATAAGTCACATGTGCAAAGTTATTCAACAAAAACTGCTCAAATTTAACAAAAAGTTTTGTGCATGCCTACGCAAAAAGTCACATGAGCTATCGGTCTAACATTTTTACTAAAGCTTCACCTAAGAGTAAAAGAGGTCTGTTTATAGCTTTTAGTCAATCGGATTAAAAACGGCTTAGAGCAGCAAAACTATTAGATGAAAGGACATGCATGTACATAAATATTGGTTAGGCCAAGCAAATTAGATTAGCAGTTTCTAGTACAAGTTTTCAAAAGAATCATATAGGTGGATGGTTATTATTCATTGCCAACTTTTTAGCACAAATGTACAAAATGTTATGAAATTATGCTAATTAAAGAGTGTTTAGCATCACGTGATATTAGTTTAAGTAATTACCATAAATAATGATGCTTGATATGGCTGTACCAATTGCATGGGAGCAATGACAAGAAACCGTTAATCTAAATTCCATGGTGTTACTATAAAGGAAGTTATTAACATTGTTTTAGTGAGAAAAAACTACCACCATATAATTTAAAGAATCTGGTTGATTCTATAACATAAAGGTTAGTTCCGAATAATAGGGTTACATTCCTAAAACTAATTTTGGTTACTATCGAGTGTCACTTTCTTACTTGCTGTGGTTTGTTTGTGTGTATTGACAAAAAGTCATAATATCTAATCAAAAACACTTTAGGTATGAAAAAAAAATAATTCAGTGTGCGACTTAAAACTCACCAAGTTAAAATAATCTTCTGGTGCAGCTTCTGCTCCACAGAAGATCAGGTACTTCTCCCAGTCAAACTCTTTATTTCCTGGATTTTCCAGGTAACCTGTAGTTTAACAGAAAAATAAAATCAATTTTCATACAGAAGTTGGATTAAACAAGTAAATGTGTGAAAGAACAATGACAGAGCTTTTCCCAAGAAAAACTGTTTAACAAAGAAAGTTCCACTACATAGAAATATGCATAATTTTTATCTAATATTATCCACTTGAAAGTTAAAAGGGGTTAACACTGTATCATTTCATCCTAGATAACATACTTAAAACATATTATAGGTGCTGCTAGAAACTCCAGAGAGAAAAAATGTAATAATTCCTTTTTGAATAACATATTATACAAATATATTCTTCAATCCAGTGGATGTAATATATATATAAAACTCTTTCTTGAGAAGTGAAAATTGATATTTTTTTATAAAGGTACTCATCCTTACAACAGTTTTATGTCATCTCATAAATATTTTTACAATAAAGTTAGGAAAAAATGACTTTCACTCTCCAGTTAAATTAAAAAAAACAAACACTTTATTATATCAATCTACATTTCACAATTGGTTTCATCAGGGCTAGTACAAAAACAAAACCCTTCCAGTAAGAAATACAAATTCTGAAATTCTTTTAAAGCTTGAAATATAGGTCAAAAGTAAGTTCTGGCAAACATCTTTAGCAGCAAAAGAAAAAATGGAGATATGTAGCATTTCAGATATGGTAAGAAGTCAACGAAAGCATTTTCCTAGTAAACAGAAATGGATTTAGATCTCGCCCAGTCTTGGTTTTAACTCCTTAAAAAAAAACTCTTCACTGTGAGAAAAACATATTAGATGGGGGTATTGAATAAATCAGTCTCATTTAAGTTTTTAAATATCCTATGAAAAAAAAGTGACCAGTTTAGCTTAGCTATAGATGTAGCCTTATTGTACATCTTACAGGCAGATTTTTCAAAATTTAATAATTTCCACGTATCTTTCAACACATGAACAAACTCAAGTTTCATAATAATGAATTAAAATTACCTTTGGGGAAGTGTATTCTCAGACCATGTTGCTTTGCCCAATTGATGGGAAAAATAAGGTGAGAATCAGCATGACAACACAAAGTTGGTGGAAGAACCTGTCTTTCAGGTGTCACCTTTAGTTTATCTGCTTCTTTTCGGTAGTCATCAGCCGTTACCAGGAAAAAATGATTGTTAATGACCTTAATGACAGTTCCTGGGTAGATCTGAAGTCTATTTGAAGGACTTACAACTTCTAGTTTCATTCCTTCCTTAAAGTTGTGGGTTTTGATTTCTGTTTCACCCTTTCAAATGATAAAAAGAAGGGAGAATTAAAACTAAAAACCTAATTAATTCTGTTGCTTTAAAAGAATATTATGACAACAAGTTATGTTGTAATATTTACTACTCTTATCTTATTAGATACAATAGTAGTTGCTCATCATTACTAGATTTCACGGATAAGGCTCGTAAACTCCAATTTTTTCACAATCAAGGTTGCTCATTGTGCATTATAAATATTAAACATAAAGTTCATATATTCCTGTGGGAAATTCATCAATATTCTTGCTACAGGTTATGGGTTCTGAAGTTTTATCGTGTATCCTGATCTTTAAAGAATTTTCACATCAACACTTTAATTTCTTGAGATGTTGTTTTAGATAACAGTGAATAGCATTAGTATATTGACCACCACTGGTTTTATCTAACATTAAATTATTAATATATATAATTGAAATAGTAGCTGTATATAGTATGACATTATATTACTGGTTTAGTTACATTAATTTATTATTATTATCTTTCTCAGTTTCACTCTTCCTTTCTCAGTATTATTATATTTATTGAACTTTCTACTTTTGGGAGGCTTATTGTTTTTCCTTTGTGGTTATGTGTTTTTTACATGGGATATTTAAAGTAAGAATGAATAAGTTTGTTAGACAGAATAAATATTATGTTTGGCATATCAGTCCCTTTGTATTACATTTAATGTTTTTACATTTTCAAAGAAAGTTCAGGTATTATTTAAATTTTTTTTATATCTTCATAAACATCAGTTTTTTTGTTGTACTATGAAAAAAACTACTGTTAGAAATTTGACTCAGTTTAAATGGTAACATGTCAAATTGTTTGAAGTTAAGCACAAAGTTACACAATGGGCTATCTGTGCTCTGACCACCATGGATATGGAAACCTGGTTTCTAACGTTCTAAGTCCGCAGACATACCGCTGTGCATGTGTACAGGGTGACTTAATGACTTTTCCTTAAACAAAAAGACATGACAGAGAGGAAGATCAAGCATGTTATACGAAGTTAAAAATTTTAAAACAATTTTCTGCTATGACAGTAGTTCGGGCAGACAGATAGTGTTTCTGTGCTCCCTTGGTAAGGTATATTATTTATTAATTATTATTTTGATTAACAATATTGGTTATACTACTTATTATGTCGATTGTCATTACTTTTTATTTTGTTTATTATTATTAAGATTGTTTTCCATTGTTAGCTTAATATATGTATTTAAGATTAACCTAAGTTGGCAAAGCTGGCTGAATTTTATGAGATGTTATTAGCATTATGACTGAAAATATCATTAACAGTCGATTAGACAATGTATTCTAATCTTTATAAGTAAAAATGCAAGAAATGTTTATTTAAATAGCTATACTGATTACCAGGTTGAGTTTTAGAGTTGCTCTAAGTACATAACTTGCATAGATCAGAAATTTATATTAATTATAACAAAATTTAGCCTTTATTTTCTGATATTAGCAAAGTTTCTTTGTAATTCCTATCTTTTTCACCAATATGATCTGCTTTCAAGCGTTTGTTACATTATAGTTTTAATCTTCTAATTTTTTTTTTCTGTCATATCTTTTCAAACAAATGTCACACATCAAGATAAATCACATAATTCTTAAAATATGTTAATATATCCAATGATCAATGTTGTATAATATACAATTAAAATTTTATTTACAAACCGATCAACAGCCATAAAAAAGCCACTCTACATGTTTTGATATTGTTCACGTCATCCTCGGGAACACCGTCGAAACATGAAGCATGCCTTTTTTTACGATCATTAATCAGTTTTTTAAAAAAATTTTAATTGTATATCATACAACATTGATCGTTGACTAGTTTAATATATTCATACAAGTTTCCTTGAATTTTATCCACATAATTATTGTGACAACACTCGTCAAAGACCACTCTATGCATTTTTTATATACATGTTTTATGTGGATTAAAAGTTGATCATACTGAGTCTTTCAATAACTTTAACTGAACCTTCAAAGGCCTTCTTTGCAGTTTTAGTGTAGTTACCTATACCAATTTCTGGTTCTGGCCATCTGGGAGACATGACTATCTATTATAATAATACTCAGTTTTTCTGTCCTGAAAATGTGTACACACATTAATATTTAAATGCACATGCACTTCATTTCAATGGAAGTCAACAAAAAGCAGATGTAATTACACTTTAGTAGACATTTTGTACAACAACATGAGGTCATAGAATAACATTATCAGTTTATTTACTGATTATATCAAGTATGGTAAAGTTTAGTCCTAACTAAGTTAAAGAAAAAACACCTCAACTGTAGTTAATTTTTCTCTTTATCAAAAATAGGCCATACTTGATAAAGACATAACTAATGTTAGGCCTAAGACAAATGGAGTTAAAGAATTCAGTGTCTGTGATTGGAATTCTTTTGTATTATTCAAGAAAATCTGTATTTAAAGTACTATTGCAATAAAGATACTTATTTGACTGCAAATGTTTTGTAGGTCTCTGCTAGTGTTTCTCTAATACTTTCTTTGAAAACATCCAATGATCCTATCAACAAAAGTGTTAGGATAACAACTCTTGTTCAGAAGAGTTCTTAGTCTATCTCTAGCATTAAGGTGAGGGACAGTGGTATTATGAATTTTTTTTAAATTCAGTCTAGTCGTCACATCATTGCTGCTTTTTTTTTTTCCATCTGTTATGTGAGTTATGATGGCAAAATACTGTTATGAATAACAGTTTCACCCAAGCAATCAGTGTATAATCATCCATGTCTAAAAGGCGGGGAAGAACATAATTTTCTACTTTCTTTTGTTTATGAGTAAAGGAACTAGGAATTTGAATTTTTTTTTTAATAACAATGATCAGTAGAATATAGGAAGACAAAAAAAAACTCAACAAACATTTCTGAAATTCAAAAAATAAAAATAGTCAAATTAGTGTTGTTTCTTTTTTATTTCACATTGGTTATCTACATTGAAGCTCACAAGTGTGAAGTATTGATGTTATAACAGAAACCTTCAATAAATGTCTATCTTGTTTTGCAGGCCTACATTTTTAACTTACTCACACTGAGATGTTGGTTGTTTATTAGAGTACACATATCATGTTTACAAAGTGGTAGCGCTAAGACTTTTAGTTAATTTTCTGTAAGCTCATTCTCAGAGTAAGTTATATTTTTCTAGTTATACATAAAGTATGTTATGTTCTATTTCAAAAATTAATAAATGAAAAGAAAAAAATAATAATTAAGACTCACCCGAAACAAGTCAGCTTGAAGTGAACAACTCTTACTTTCTGAAAATGAAGCTTTCAAAATTTTTTCCCATTCCCTCTGGTTATGGTGGTGAGCTATGTCTATTAAAGAATAATAAGAATAATCATACTCCCAATTATGTTAAGATATCCACATAAAATTGTGATGGTGATTGTATATTTATATAACATACTTTCATTACATGTTTTACACTGTCACTATGGGCTCAGTCAAATTTGCCAAGTTCATGACCCCAAATTGACTTTTATAGTTTCCATACTATAACTTCTAGTATGTTTTGTGTATTTTCAAGCTTTCAGTAAGTATCAAGTCCTTTGAAGACAAAAAATCATAATTTTTAATGAAGTATTTTCAATACAACTTTCTCTGTGAATATACAAAGTCAAATTGTTGACTGGTCCAAGTCCAAAGTGATTTTTATGTTAAGATTAAAAATACTTTTCTTCATTTGAAAATTGCATAATCTATAAAACCTCCTAAACAAGTTTCAAATTTTTCTTAGTAAAACTTTATATTTTATCTGTTATTTTCTCTACACTAACTCTATACATATAAATTGACTAATGTCGTAACCACCATAAAAAAATAGGAAATAAATCTCAATTCTCCTTTTTTTTTCTTTCTAGAATGACTTCAAATTGTAACATGAAATTACATTTGTTTATCCTAAATAGCTTTAAACTCATAACAGTATACATCTATTTATACTTTATTGCTATATTTCCCTTCAAACTGTGTCTAACTAATAATCCTGCCATGCAAGTTGTAAACCACTTGGTGAATGTGTAGCTCACATTTACCTGATCAAATTACATTATGCGTGACTTCCTCACGATCATATTCTGCGAAAAATTTTGATTATTATTGTTTTCTTTATTTTACCTAATCTAACCTAAAAAGTTTCTAATTTTTAAATTTTAGTTACTTTTATGATAATTAATAAATAAATAAAGATTACACATGAAAAATAAGAAATAAAGTACTTACTTGGGTCTTCTTTTTCTACTGTCAACTGTCTATGAAACTTAACCTTACTTTATATACTAATGGTACTACTGCATTAAATAGTTTTTTTCATTTAATTAAATAATACACCAAAGAACACAGAATAATAACCCATAAAAAAGCAGACTATATCCAATAATTACCACAATTTTTCTGGCTTTCTAATTATGAAACAAGAGTTGTTAAAAAATTAGTTAAGCTCAATTGATGTGTTTATCATGGGAATAAAGTTTGAATAAGCAAAATAAACAATTTTCTGTACAGAAAACAATATAATATAATACATCATTTGGTAGATTAAAACTTTCACTTTCTATTGATTATCAATAATATAGTATTAAATGGCAAAGAGAGCGTGGCACGAGGGGTCTGATTTTCTAGTTTATGGCTCTGTAACCAAATAAGATTGAAGGCTACAAAAAATATGCTTTGTCTGAGTAATAACAATATTATGAGTAATTTACATTAAATTTCATACTTCTCAGAGGGGTGGTAAATAAATTAGTAAAAGAAGGGATACAGACAATTTGCTCATCTGTGAACAAAAGTACCTGTCTATGATGCCACCAAGAAGCTATAACTTATGCAAACCATAAGATTCCAAAACAATTTGTTATCTTAAGTTAATAAAGTGAGCAGTTAAGATTATACTCACAATGGGACTGTATGTTTTTTATGACAAGTTTTGTATTTAATGTAGGCACTTAAAAATATATTTCCAATCAGTTAACCAAATCATGAGTGGTGAACACCTTTCAGGTTTTGACTGTACAGCTGCATATCAAATTTCAAAAGTGAAGTTAATATAATAATTCTAATTCTAGTTAAACAATTCATTACTCAAAAATATTTAGAATTGATATTTTGTCATTTTATAACAAATAATAAAAATGAAAAATAAAATTCAAACTTATATTCACATTTAGCTCCATTGAGTCACACTTGTAAACAACATACTTATCAAGGTTTTTAAGATTCTTCTGCCCAATCCATTTGTTTATACTTGCTAAGAATCTATCACTCCTTGAGAATTAGAGAATTATATTCTCAAGGTTTTATTTTTCACTTGATTTTCCTTACATTTCCCCAAAAGATCACAGGATAAGATGTGACCAACTACTAATGAGGTTCAGATTTGAAAACGACCATAGGCAAAGTTTAAATAGCATTGTATACAGCAGATTATAAACTACGTATGTCAAGTAGAGTAAATAAAGTTGAGTGAGAAGTTATTCATGGGAAAGGGACAAAAGCCTCTGCAAAGAAGAACAATGGAATCTTATGGGAAGCTTAGAAGACTTAGGAACAAACCATACACTTGTGAATTTTTTATAGTTTCTTTAGATGTTATTTTCATCCCTGAAAAAGTTTTCAAGTTAAATTATATTTAACTGAGAGTTATGTAAATTTTCTTGAATGACAATATATTAGGTAAGCCCAGTTAGGGTTAACAAGCACGGTAAATGACAGCAAAGTATTCCAATGACTCAAATCCTTATTTATTGAATAGTATTGTTAAGTATATTGCAATCAAGTAATGCAAACAAATAAAATAACTTGTAATTTATTGAAAAAAAAAGTATATTTATTAAATCAATTTTGACCACAAAAAATTAACAAAAATAGTGTTACATGCCTGACCAGATGCCATTTTGTAAATTCAGGCCCTACGTCACTGATAAATCAGTTTTTGCGGTGTTTTTATGATCTTTAGACAAAAATGGTAACTACTGCAATTAGCAAAATGAAGTATGAAAAGATATAAGTGAATGATTGGATGCTTAAATGAAACTTTCTGATCAAATTTTTAAAAAACTGAAATTCTAAAATAAAAGGAAGTATTTTTAATGTGTTTTTTTTTCAAAACAGTACCCCAAAACATAATTTTAGAAAATTACATAAAAAAATGATAGAAAAATTGAATCAAATGAAACTATTTTTTAGTTACTATTCATTATTTTTTATTTTTTATATCGTGTAATTTGTTAAGTATTTCAACTGTGAGAAGGAAAAAAAATCAAGTGATATTATTACATCCCTCCAGTTTGGAAAGGGTTAAACATAATTGAGTAACAAACCTGAGGGTGGCTTATATTCATATCCTTGCAGTGAGCCCCATCCAACCATATGCAGTTGATATGACAAGTAGAACAACCAAAAGTCCCAGCTGGCACTTTCACAGCCATCATACCGGAGCAACAGCCGGCCACCAACATTTTCTAATACCTGCATTGAAAAGAGCATTATAACACTTAGGTCTTAAAGTAAAGAGCCATGGAACATATATATATATATATATATATTCTAAACAGTATACATGCACAACAGAAACTACGTGTTCGGTATGCACTTTATTATGTTAAAAGAATAACCAGTTTAAAATCATATTGCCATTATGGCAATATTTCATCATATTGCCAGTTAGAAAATTCTGGAAATATTTTTTACAGTTGTATCAAGTAAGAAACTGTAAAAATAACACATGTATACACACAGGTGATGTTTAAAAAGAAATACCTATTTCCTACATCAGTTCACGATTATAATGGTTTAAATAAAACATGAGTTTAAAAAAGTTATTGTAATCATGGCTTGTTTGTCTTTTCCAAAATATATTTAAAACAAATTAATGTTTGTTAACATACTGTGAAGAAACTATACAAAAAAATACTAAGAATTTATAATAGAAAATTTTCTGAGAACCTTTGCAAGCTTACTATGCTTGCATTAGCTTCTGAATGTCAGCTTCAAGTCATGTTCCTTCAATTGCAATTAAGATGTCAGTATTTGAAAAGTGTAGGGTAATAAGATAACACAGAAGTCATCACTCATTCCTACTTTTGTTTTTTGAGGTTGAAAAAATTAACTTGATTAAGAATTGTAAATAAACTGATTGGAATCTTACTTTAATTTTTTTACATATGATATCTAATTCTAAAACTCAGAATAGTTGATCTTGCTGTGATTCTTGTCAATGTATTATGTTTATTATAACATTTAACACCTTTTCTTAAATATTTGGCATGGAATGTTCATCCTGACACATTTCCAAAAACTGTCAACCACGGATCTGCATTAAACACTGCTTATCTTGAAGTTTTCTCCTAAAATCTTGAAACTGTAGTCTATTTACATATTGTTAAAATATTCACCTAAATACTGACCAAGTAATCTTAATCAACTGAAAGGAATCAATCCATTCTTTAAATATCTTATCTGAATATTTCAAAACCTTTTCAGACTTACTTTTGTGTTTCAAACATATGATACAAGATGTTTTTTTTTGCTAAAGTAAAATGTATGTGCCATTTTAATCAATGATACTTAAGTAATTTCTACAAAAATAGAAGTTTTAACCTAAATCTCTTATTTGTCACATACGTTTATGAGACAGAAGCTTTGAACCACTGCTACAATGGCTGTTCGAATAATAGAAGTTTCAGCCAGCTGGATGTGGACCCAAAAGAAGTTTCAAACACACAAAGATGTAAATGTTAATAGCCCTGTTAACACAATTTCTGGACACCCTGTATATGGAAAGCTATTTGAAGAACTTGACAACAAACTTTAAACACAGCTGACAACTAACTTCAAAGATATTGTTACGTCTCCGTTTGTTAATTAACTCTCCGTAACTTCGTACCGACGAAACTTAAGCGACACAAGTCTTTACTTAATAAAACTGGTTTATTCTTTCCGAATATAACTTAACCGATACACTCAACTTCAACAATCGCGCTAAACAAACGCTATGGCAACGAACGTCAATAATACTCTGACCGCAGATCAATTACTCACTGTCTATACACACATTACCTTCCCTTCTTTTATATACCAGCGTAACCTATTTCTAGTAAGAACTTGAACATTCGACAAAGTACATGATAGTTCTAGAAACGTTGCGTCACTGTAGTCATGTGACTGCTGACGCAACAATATTTTATGAAAAGTTTGTGTGACTAATTATAAAATATTATGTAGGTAGTGTATGCCTATTGTGTAGAAATATGTGTTGAACTTCACATGAATGTTCAAGGTAAAGTAACACATTTATGTAAAACTAGCAGTGATACATATCAGAAAGTTTCTTACCGTCGCTATCCACACAAAAGATGGTTGAAACTCTTCTTGCACCTCTATCTTCATACCCTGCTTAATCTGTTCTATAGGCAGAGCTCCTGCCTGGGAATTATTCATGTGAAATTAGACCTCTATCACATAAGACACAGCTAAAATCTAGAAATTACACCACTGTACCCACTACTGATATAATTAGGTGTACAAATTATAACCACTACTGATATAAATTAAGAATAGAAACTACAACACTATAACTACCACTGGTATACATTAAGAACAGAAAATAGAGCATTATAACCATTACTGATACAATAAAGTATAGAAACTACAGCATAATAACAACTACTGACATAATGAAATGTGGAAACTACAGTATTATATCCACTACTGATGTAATGAAGTGTATAAACCACAGGATTATAGCCATTACTGATGTAATGAAGTGTAAAAACTACACCACTGTACCCACTACTGACAAAATTAAGTGCAGAAACTACAGTGATGTAATTGTTTGTTTGTTTGCTTTTGAATTTCGCGCAAAGCTACACGAGGGCTATCTGCGCTAGCCGTCCCTAATTTAGCAGTGTAAGACTAGAGGGAAGGCAGCTAGTCATCACCACCCACCGCCAACTCTTGGGCTACTCTTTTACCAATGAATAGTGGGATTGACCGTCACATTATAACGCCCCCACGGCTGAAAGGGCGAGCATGTTTGGTGTGACGGGGATTTGAACCCGCGACCCTCAGATTGCGAGTCGAGTGCCTTAACCACCTGGCCATGCCGGGCCCAGTGATGTAATCATTACAGATATAATTAAGTGTACAAATTACATCATTACAGCCACTAATAACTCGTAAACATGACAATATAACTCTTTCAAGTTGCACAGAAAACAATGGTTTGCTGAAATAGCAAAAGTAAATATATTTTTCATCAGAAGACTTAAATAAAATTGAACTGAGATGTATAAGACAAGTACTCTGCATTTTTGATACTTTTGTTAGATAATTGACTATGGTTGTAATAGCTCTTCCTCTTTGCCAAAAATTTATATTTTAAAATATTTACTAATGGAAGTGGAACAAAGAAAGAAAATGATTTAACTTTTGTTTCACACAGAAAATAATACATGAATCACAGAATAACAAAAAATTCACAAATTCTCTTAAAATATATTTCCAATATTTTTATGGTAACCTGAAAAATAACTGAACAATAGATAAAAAAATCGCATTTTTGTTTTAATTTTAGATAGCACAAATTATCATACGCTTTTGAAACAACCTACACACACACACACAAAATAAAACAATATATAATCTACTTATTTGTATCAAATTTTAAAGTAATATTTTGTACAAAACTGGATGGGAAACTTTGAAAAACCTAAGAAGCTTTTGGGTGGGTTTGTTTTTTTACATACAGGCTAATTTTTTTAATGCAGTTGTAAGGACTTTTTTCAGTCTGTATTTATTTTAATAATTTTAAATTGTATACATTCCTTTGATTATATCAGGTCAGAAGAATTAAATGTTATTAATTATTCCTCTAAAATTACTAAAAAATTATAACAAATATTTCAGAAGGTGACAAACCTCTTTCAGTATGTATGAAGGTACTTTAGGGCCAACTCTGGTTTCTTCGAGTAAATCTTGCCAAGATGTGCATGGACACTTCTGCTTAACAACTACACCAAAAAATGTTTTGTGAACATAACTTTAAACACATTCACCTATGAGATGCAACATTAAGCTAAACACTTAATATTAATCAATACTGTTTATTAATGAACAATTAGCCCTTTTTTTTACAGCAACTAGCCCAACTTCATAAACAAAATCTTTAGCTCTTATGAAGGTGAAATAAAGAAAAAAAAGCCCATTATTGTGATACAAGTTAATTGTTATTCACTTCAAAGTCTCTGTCTCTAACTGCTGACAATAAATTTAAGTAATTAATTTTATTACTTTCAATTTTCATATGTGAATTAGTGCAATTAACAAATTGAGAACAATTTGGCTAGCCCTTAAAACTTTTTTTGTCAGCATCTAAATAAGAGTACATTCATTTAATGTTACTTAAAAGAGAACTGCAAGGAGAAACTACAGTTCTATAAACATAGGTGATTTTGAAATACGTACAGTTTAAATATGGTGCAGGTTAGGGATGACAGTTTAGAAACAATTTATTGATGAAATTTCCAATTACACTGTATACAATGTTATAAAATATATAATAATGATATATAATAATGACACCATAAGTAAAAAATAAATAAATAAAACTTAATAACTACACAATAGAATTCAACATACACGTAGTGGAATGTGGATTTGGTTGAATTAAAATAAAAACCAGTTGTAAAAAAACTGGCTTGACAATTATTAAAAATAAAAAATTCTTAACAGCCTAAATCTAGTCAAACCATTAGATCTCCAGTTGATGCTAAATAAAGATATCTTGAAGAAGCTTTGTGATTTTTAAAAACTGACACAAGGGTTATATATACTGTTGTAAGCTATGTTTTCAATTTTTTAATTTTTGTTATTTGTTAGAGAGCTACTAACATGATGATAACTTTATATTTCAAATGTTTATAAAAGTGTTCCTATAATATCTAAAATGTTCATGAATGTTAATGATCAAGACGATTTGTAAAATACATAGAAACAAGGATACATTATAAATAAGAGAATCAGTGAAGTACTGAGCCAGTTTTCAGTTCATTTAGAAATTACTTAAGTACTTTTTCTGGGATTTACTGTTACTTAAATACTCTAAATTTTTTTTTACTTTTACTTAAGTAAAATCAAGAAGTAATAATCTAGTTTTATTCCATTGCATTTCATTTATAAGACTGTTACATTTGAAAAGATTGGAGAAAAATCACACTGGTTGCCACACTGATTTTGTTTACATCAATCAAAGCACGCCTACTCTTTCAAATAAGACAATATTAAGCAGTGGTATTTCCTGTGCCGCTGAGCAGGAAAAAAACACAGCCATTTTGCATCTAGTGTTAACTATGATAACTTCGTTCCACTTTGAACATCATGTCTAACACAAATAATCATCCATGGCCTTATTTGAAAGACTTATTTTTACTGAAAACAATAGTGGGAAATTCAGTGAAGCATTTGTTTAGTTCTGTAGGGTTTTTGTTCACACTGAAATGAGCTAATCTATCTAGTAGGAGCTTTGAAAATCAGCTGCTGCTGAAGGTAAATAATAAGTGGAGTGTATAAAGAGCTATACCACAGACAGTAATACTGATTGTTTAATAAAAAATTATTTGATTGCAGAATGATAAGTATAAACATTGCTGTTTCGAATATTAATACAGTACTGTGTGTGTGTGTCTTGAATGATAGATAATTAGTGTAATATTTGTAATGATAATAATCAGTTTTTGATTTCATTAGTTTGAATGTTAAACAGTTTCTACTTTAATTTCTTCGATAATTCAAAGACCTAAAATTGTTTACAATATAATTACTATGTTTGATTCACAAATATAGGCCTAACTTAAATTTTATAAATCAGCCAGATCCTGTAAGGTGTTATTCCAATTGGAATCAATAAACATTGTTAACAGCAAGGGTATACAAGTGAAAAATTATAGCAATCTACTCACTCCACATTTTATATAATATCTTAATGATCGACATAAAACTTATATCATGATCACAATTTTCCTTAATTTTAACTCCACTTACTAGAGCTTTAAACTGAGTGCTAGCAAATAGCTTAGATCAATCAATAAAATTAAATATTTAGTTAATTACTCTAATAATTCCACAGTTAAATCTAGTTAAATTTGACTGAACTGGATGATTTTGTGTCTGTTCAAAAAATTTAACACAACTGCTTGAATAGTTCAACAAGTATTAAAAGTAATTCTTAACCTGATGGTAACCGAAGGAGGTCGAAAGGTTGTTACTTGTTTTGTGTGTTAAATATCCATATCAGCCTTCTCTACTATATATATATGGTTAGTTCAAATGAATTCCTTGTCATTATAAAAAAAAATTATTTACATCACCTGGCTCGATGTTATGTAGGAGAAAACAAAACAATACAATGATGAAGTTTTTATTTTACTTTTGCAGTTAAGTAAAATGCAGTGAAAACATATGCAAACCTGAAATGTAGATTAGTGACAGGTGACTGGTTAACTGTTTAGTCAATGAATAAACAAGCAATATTCTTTATAAAGTAAATAAAATATGTTTTTACCTCTAATGAGTAAATTAATAAAGCTGAGTGATAAATCAATTTATTGATCGACTAAATGGTTAACCAATTGCTTTTGTTTTGTTTGTTTTTGTTATGGATTTCGCGTAAAGCTACATGAAGGCTATCTATGCTAGCCGTCCTTAATTTAGCAGTG